ACTTATTTCATTTTAATGAATAAAATTCTCTGTATCGTTATCAACTCGCATATCATTGGACAAACACTCTTTGCTTTATTAACTATGGAATGAATCGCTTGTAAACAATATAGATTTTTTTATTAGAATAAATAGTAAAAAATAATCGAATAAAAACAAAGTAATGGAAGCTAATAACTTCGAGGCCTAAAATGAAGGCCTTTTTATGTGGAAATAACATGCCAATATCATTATATTCCATTGTGTATTAATTTGCATCCTTCTCGGATTTCTTACAAAGATGTTCTCCTCCACCTCCAGTAGCTGTTGTGGTTGTACTGTCACTATTCTTACATTTTTGGCAGCATATATTGGCTTAGTCAAAGTTGATAACTTTTAACTATATACTAAAACTAGCTGGCAGATGAATGCAAGAATGGAAAGATGTTCTCTTCAAGCTCCATCTTCATATTCATTGGCCTAATTTTTTTCTTGTTTAGTTGTTTCAAGTGAATCAAATTCTAAATCCGATATTGTTAGATCGAAACAGATGCTCCAGTTATTAATATGCTAAATTTTCCACAACTACAGTTTGAAATTTATAAATTATTTGTTCGAATGATAGCAGAAAAAATTAGGTTACTGATATAAATATCAATCAAATTATATTTATTAAAATTTCGTAAACTGAAGATAAAAAAATTATTCTTCTATAGAAAACTGATATTTATATCAGTTTTCTATGATCAATTTGAAATTATTTACTGTGATCAATTTGGAATATCGTCTGGTTTCATTCTATTGCTGTATCACATTAAAATATGTAAATATGTGTAAATATGTTTCGCAAAAGTTTTTTGACGGAGAGACGATCATAATATCTCTGTGATCAGTCTGCTAATCTGCTAATTGGTTTTTTAACTCTCCAATGTATGATCACTTTATTCCTCTCCAGATCAGGTTATGAGAGAGTAATATGATCAAAATATTCCAGCGAACATTTTATTTCCCAATGAACATTCCACAATATTCCTCATCTTTTGATTCTTAAGCGCATCTATTTCGCAGCATCAGTTATCGTTCGCTGCAACTGCGACTACTTCTATTAATATCATACATAGCATTTATTCGTAATGCTCGCATCAAATTATTTTTTCTTCAAAAATTTTTAACTCTTTTAAAATTCCATTCAGTACTTTTTGCTGCTTTAAAATATTTAACTGATATACAATCAGTTGTGTTATTGTCTCATAAAGTAAGTTTTACACAATTGAAAGATATATAATTCTAAACCTTAACCTGAAAGGAATATTGCACAAATTGTTTAGTTTCATCTATAAAATTCCCTTATCATTCTATTTCTATCTCAATTGCTAGAAATATTTATCATGTTACATTTCAAATTGAAATTTGACGATGAAATGAAATTACAAATTTCATTAATAATGTCAAACAGTAAGAAAATTATTAAGCCATACGGAATACTGTAAGTGTTACATAATTCGATATCGAATAATAATAACCGAATATTTGGCCAGGTAAAGCAAAAAAAAGATAAAGTATGATGCATATTTGTTTTATCTCGTTGAAAACTTTAAGAATTTGACTCATTTTCATTTCTAGCATTAAACTGAGCAACATTGTTAAAAAACAGCAATAAGTGATAAATATTATTTTATAGCTTTCAACAAACAAAATATTATGATAAAAGCCTAACAGATTAATAACGATGATAAGCTATGATAACATTGATAATAAATTATAATAATAGTAATGGTAGCGATATTAACATAAAAATTGGTGCACCATTTGTAGCTCAGATTCTTTTTGTTGAATAATTTTTGGTTTTTCTTGCTTTAATGCCATTTCCTTTAAGTTTTATCATTCAGCAATACTACCAACCAGTTGTGATAGCATCTAATTATTAATAAACATTAAAAAATTCTGAGATTTTATCACAAAGAAATCACTTTGAAATTAAATTTAAGCTAAAATGTATACTTCTAATTCTTTTTTCATTTTCAAACGAAAACAGAAAATTAGTTTTTGTTTATAATAAAAAATTATAAAGTTATGAAACAAAATTGACATTTCCCTTTTTTCTATAAAATAATGTAAGTCTTCTTTTAAACAAATTTTTTTCCTTTTTTGATAAAATTCTTATCATTGATAAAAATCTTATCATTGATAAAATTCAAAAATATATTCATTCGAAATAAAATTGCCACTGCTTGGCTTAATTTAAAATTACTAATTAAATATAATTAATTATTCGTTTCAATTTTATTTTTTCAAACTTTCCTTTACTTATAACCTCTTTATTAATCACACAAATATTACATTCTATCGTCATTTTATTATTCTTTTCCCTCTTCTTTCTCTCTCTCCCTCTCTTTCTTTCACTCTTTTTGTCAAAGGAAAATAGAATTGCATAAATATGAAATTAGATATAATTAGTTCATTGCATTAATTCATACAGGTAATTATTAATCAAATAAGTTAAGTTGTGGCAAAAAAAAGTAAAAATTTTTCAAAAAATAAAATTTAAAGGAAAGAAATGATGAATCATAAAAAATGATGAATCATCTTCGTTATATGAATGTAATCGTATAAAAATTATTAATCATTCTAACTTTTTATATCAATATAAATGATAAAATTTAAAATATTTCGAGGAGAGGAATACCTAAACAATGAAATTTTTAGATTTCGTTATAACTATTGAAATTATGTCGTAAATATTTTTGATTTCTTTCCTTATCAAAAGATTGATATTATAATTGCTAGCAATTATAATTTAATAATAATATTTATGAATAATCAAAAGAAGAAATATCAATTAACTAATTTTAATTCCAAAATTCGATTAAAAGTTTTTTATTAATTTCAATATTTCTTTTTGATAATTTATTGTAAATTTCATTGAATAATCTGTCAATTTACGCATTCTCATAAATGCAATTATCGATTAATTAAATTCTTCCAATTTAATTAATTTGAAACAAAAGGAAAAGAAATAATTCAAAAAAAACATTCTTTTTCAATGATGAGTGATAGTTTGATTAAAAGAATGATATTTAAATTTGCGCTTCAATTCTTTTTATCTTTTTATAGCATATTCGATTCGAATGCAAATTTTTTGTTCCCATGCTTTTAAAGACAAAATCAATAATATGACATGATTGTCTTACTGATTGTACAAATACTATCAGCAAGACCATCCTAAAAAAATATCGTCAACCGACCATTTTACTTTTTCAATCATTGTGACACTGTCATCATATCACACTTTCCCATCATTCGTTCATCTTCTCTTCATCACTCTTTCATCATTTTTCTTCATTGCCAAAAAATTCAAAAAACTTTTTCGCATTTTTCTTTATTTGACGAAAATTCGATTTTCTTCCTTTTCTTTATCAAAATTTCTCGCAAACTTCTTTCCAACCATACTCATTATACCACACTATTATTCGCATATGCATACCGGTCTTAACATTCATATTTCTGTGTGTGTGTGTGTTTGTGTCTGTGTTTGTCTATATCTGTGCTTGTGTGTGTGTGTATCTGTATCCATGCTTGTGTGTGTGTGTGTGTGTGTGTGTGTGTGTGTACATGTGTGTCATTATGTGTATTTGTATAGTTCGACATCGATTTCATTTCATTGCAAGATGAAGAGAAAAGATATTGTGAGAAGAGAGAAGTCCAAGTAACTTAACTTTTCCTGTCGAAAACTAGAATGCTGTCCTCATAGATATTTTCTTCCTTTAACTCCCACCTTTCCCATCTTTTTCACCCTCTTCAACTTTCATCATTTCCTATCGTCTCAACTCTGACCTTTTTCACCTCTTCAATTCCAATCTCTTTTACCTTCCTAAACCAACCTTATTTGTACCTTTCTAACTTCCATCTTTTCCATATGGTCAATACCATATCCATTCATTTGCAAATCTAATTTATCTTTTTAGAATTTCCTACTGAAATATTTCTTCGATAAATTTTGAAATTCATTAAGATTTATTTAATTTTTAATTTAAATTTTCGACGACAACAACAAAGTGAAATGATTGATTCATTGATATTTATCAGTTCGTTTTCTTTTTCATTACTTTTTCCTTCCTTTTATATTATTATTTCGAAATTGTGCTTTTATATTTTAGAATTGAAATGAAAAGAAATTGCATAATATATGGGAAAAAAGCTTTTTTCCTCATTTTTATTTGATTTATCAATAATTCATTAAAGATATTATGAATTTTAATAGCAAAATAATATCATTTTGGAAGATATTTATTGTTTTTTAGGTTAGCAAATATTTTAAATATTATTATTTCAGCCAAATTATTTAATTTTTCCATTCGTTTTCTTTGTTTTATTTAACCAAAATGCTTTTAGTGGTATCGTTGCTATGGTAATTGTATTCATATGTATTAATTGAAATGAATTATTGCCTTCCTACAATGTTACTATTCTTACATTTTAATTTGTTGCAGAATTTTCCACCAAGTTTTGTGGTTTGTATTGACAATAATAGTGCTGCTGTATATATGTCAGTATAATTGTAATTATCAATTGATAATTATATATCGAATATGATAGTCACTATCATAATCATACATCATTAATGAAATACACGATTTCATCAATTTCAGATTGTGCCCATTATTAATTACTATTGTTGCTGTAGCCATCTAACAGCAATTATATATAACATTTCAACCTTTTCCTCTGTCAAGCTTTAATGATATATATTGCCATTTCTCCTAGAATTTACTCCCACTTATTAGGTACATCAATTCAAAATTTTATTCCATTTTCTGAATGCCTTATAGGAAGTTATTAATTTGGCAGTTGGCTATTTTTAATATTACTGTCATTACTATTTGGTCTAATTGTCATCTTTAGCAAAAAGGAAAATCATCATTCTTATTTAAATAATCACGATAAAGAACAAATATACTGATTTATTATTATTTACTACAACTACATCTGCAACTACTCCTATCGCTACTGTTACTGTAACAATGTATATGTCATCCGATGCAATCGATGCATACAGCATTGCGATATTAGCTGGTGCACCATATGCGCAATTGTTATCACAATCATTAATTACATGGCCATTGGTATTTATCCTATTTACATTACCTGCAGCAAATTTACTTATCAATTTAGGCTATATTTCGGGTGCTGGACCTGTATTAACATTTGCCCGAATTGCACCAATTGCTTCAGGTAAAATTATTATAAATGTTATTATTCAATCGATAATTTATATCTGTAAAACATTGGTGTTAAAATTATACATCATTCTATAACATATCGATTAAAAAGTTGTAAATATAAGTTACAATTAATAAAAAGTTTTTCTTTCTTTTCTATTATTTAATTTTTTATATTTATATATTTCCTTTTTACAATTCTTTAATTTTAATTTTAAAAATACACGAAAAAATAAAGCGAAATAAATACAAACAAACTTTTGTATTGAAAAATTAATTAAAGAAGAAATTTGAATGCAACAATTTATTGAAAAATCAACGATTCAATTTTAGATTTGTAGAAAATTTTAAATATAAATATTTATGAAAGTATTTGAATTAGTAAAGTAAGCAAAATATATCTTTCTTTTTCCTCTCTATCTCTCTTTTTTTAGAATTAATAATTACCTTTTTTTGTTTCGACAAAAAATGAAAGTAATTATGTTTGAATAGAAAACAAATACACAATTGTATTCTTCCTCATTATAAAGTTTGTTTTAAAAATTTATTTTTAAGAAACATCTCTGAATAGTTCGTTAAATTTTAGGTGTCAATTTTGATTTCATTTTCTTATTTTCTCTTCATCAAAATATGAACTTTTTCGTTTTCTTCTTTTTTCCTCTTCTTCTCTTTTTGCTTAATTAATATTTCTTTCCATTATCGATGTTCTATATATTATATATTTTTTGCTTCCAATTAATTTTATTGATTTATTTTTATTCTTCTATTCACTCTAAAACTTTATGAAATTAACTGAACAGAAAGGAAAAATAAGGAAGATTTTAGTGTGGCATCAATTCATTCATTATAATTAATGAATTAATTATTATATTAAAAAAAGCGGAAGAGAAGGAGAAGAAGGAAAGAATCAGTGAAATGAATAACAATTATTGAAATTTATGGACAGATGGAATGGATGAAAATTTAAATTGTCATTTTGAAAGATTTGAAATTGAAAAAGAAAAAGAGACAGATCTATCGGAATGGCCATATTTTTTTATATTTCGTACACTGAATTAATGAATTTTAAATGATTACTCAAAAAATAACTATTAAGTTAATTAATTTTAAGAATTTTTTGCAAATTTTTCTCTTTAAAATATCGAATTGATCGATAATTTGTCGAAATTTTCTACAATTTCTCTGAAAATATCAAATTATTTTATTTTCTTTTTGAAATATTAAACTATTTTATTATTACCGAAACCTTTTTATAATATATTTAAAACCATTCACATTAACTATCAGAAAACTCGTTTCTCTTACTCTCTCGCCATATATTCAAATTTTGTTGTAAAATTTGTTTTAAAGAAAAAACATTAATTTACGACAAAGGAAAAAAAGAAAGTGAGTAAAGAAGAGAGAGAAGAAGGTGAGAAAAAGAAAAATAGAAAAACAAAATGATAAAATTCAATTGTAAAGTTTTTGGGTAGTTAAAGAAATGAAAAAGGAAGGAGACATTGATAATGGATGGAAGAGTTTAAAATGTTAGTGATAAAAAGGAATATTTACAAAAAAAGAATGGAAGAAAAGAAAAAAGAGTAAAATTTGTGCTATTTTTTATTTTAGGTTAAATTTTACTCTTTCTCTCTCTCTCTCTCTCTCTCTCTCTCAAAAAAAAAGTACTTTTAGGAACAAAATAATCAATGTCTAAAATAATATGAAATGAAATGAAATTGAAAAAAGAATTATATCGTATACTTACTTATATTATTTATGTTATTTATTATAAAAAAATAATTATTATAAAAAACAAAAATAATTAAAAATAATTATTATTACAAAAAGTAATTATATATTTTTTAGTAATTAATAAAAGAAATTGGGTATGTTTTATTTTTTTTATGTTTTCAAATTCAAATTTGATTTATATTAATGTTTTCTTTTGTGCTTTTTATCTTTTCAATTTAGGTTATGAATGAATAAATAAATGAAAAGAAAATAATTGATAGGAATAATTTTGACTTTTAAATATAACTGATTATATGTATATATTATCACTTATTGATAACATACCAAGAAAATAGGAGAAAAAGAAGATAATAGTTATAATTCATTCATTTACCTATTTGTTTATTCATTTAATTGCTTCTATGTGTGTCTGTATTTATATTATATACATTTACATACATAAAAAAATTAGAAATCAGAACTGGAAATGCATTATGGATAACATCTATGAAAGTTCTTGTAATAACTGTTCCATACATGAGTGGAAAATTGGATGGAAAATATAAGGCATAAGTTATTAGAAAATTAAAATTGTGAAAAGATATTATAAAAATGACGAATTTTAATTAATTACTACCTGTTATTAATCATACAATTTTAATTTAATTTAATTATCACCCGTTATTATTAATAAAATTTTTAATTAATTTACTTACTACCTGTTATTAATGATATAATTTTATTTTCAAAAACAAGATATATATTAGATTGATTCTTAATCTTTTTCTTTTTTCCTCAATGATTCAAATAATTGGTTTAGTAAAATATAAGGAAAAGTGGCAGAAATTATTAGTAATAAATCCTTCTATTGTCTTTTTAACAACGATCACAAATAAAATCAATAAAAATATGCATTTATTAAAAATTTATTGCTTATATTTTGTAATAAATATTTTTTAATATTTAATATATTGTTCAAAATTTATTTCAAAATAAACAAAAAGAAAAAATGGCAGAAAGTTTTTTAATTCTTTATTTCATTAATTAAAGGTATCGGTTGGGCTCTTACATGGTTGGCTGGCGAACGATTATTTATACGATCATTAACTGCCGCTCAAAATTTGATATATATATTTGCATCGTTAAGAAGACGTTTGGATTGGGCAATTGAATGTGATCATAGTTACAATGATCATTTATGCATTGAATTATTACGGATTAATATTTCACATGGAAAAGCACAACATCAACCGGATAATAATTGGCCGGCACAACAATTTAACAAGTTATTCAACATCCGTTCTTTTTTCTTTTAAATTTATTATGATAAAATCATTTTCCGTATGAATTAATATTTCACACGAAAAACCTCAGTACCAATTAACCCATAATAATTTACTAATTTGTTGGCACAAAAAATTTTACAGTTTATCCTTTTTCATTTTTTTTAAAATTTAATATGCTAAAATTATTTTTTATTCTTTCCTTCTTTTTTTTCAAATATATAATTTCTCTGAAAAAAGAAATTCTTTAAATAATTATTTCCAAATGAAAAACAAAAAAGTTTCTTCTCTTTTGATTTGTTTTTCCAACTTACAACAAAATAAATAAATAAATAGCTAATAATAAATAATCTGATAAGTAAAATATTTTTAGATATGCAGTTCGACAATTACCACATTATACCAATTTATCTAATTGGGTACCAAATGCATGGTACTTTGAAGATCCCAATAATATGGGGAAATTTTCGATTGAATTTCCCGTTTTTTCACTAAGTCTTGCACATATTTTAATTTGGATAATATTATTTTTAATTGTAAAAAAGTAAGTCTTATCAAAAATTTTAACTCGATATTTGAAAAGGAAATTTAAGAAAATTTTCAAAAATTGACATATAAGAAGTATATAGTAATTTTTGCTTATTCATATTTATTTTTCTCAAGGTATGGTACCAATCCAGGATGGTTTCTTGCACGATTTTGCTTACTCTTGCCATTATTCTTATATACCATTCTGATTTGCGGCCTTACAATAGTTGGATTTTCATTTAGCAAAACTAATGAACGTGAAATTGCATCGGAAAATGTGGAAAAATATCCATTTCAATATTTCTCCGAAATTCATGTAAGTATTGAAATTTCATTTTCCTATTTTGTCCATATCATTATCCATTTCAACGTTTCTTTAAAATTAAATTTCAAATAAATCACTCAATCTTCTTTTGTCTTTTCAAATATTGCATTTTCGAATGCGATCATTTAAACTCTGTTGGTAATTCGTTTTTTTAAATTTTCAAATTATCTTTCCAGCTATCATTTATGCAAATGATAATAGTTTTGTTCAGAAATAATGAAAAAAATAAAATAAAAATAACGTTATCACCAAAAAAAGCCTTTTTTAAATTAAACAAAATTCAGTGTTTGAAATACATAACTACCATTTCTTGTGTATTATTTATTGTTATCGTTGTAAACATTATTAAGTCTAATCAAAGAACAAACTGATTTATTTGCAGCGTATATCGTTTACTTTAGTAATTTCATTTATTTGAAATTTCAAATTGTTCATTTATTTCTTTAAATAAGCGAAATTTTAAGCTTTTAAATGAACATGAATTTTTCATAAAGCAATCAACAAATAAAACGAACAAATTAGATCAAAATTTTATATTTTTATCTTAATTTTATTTCTTCATATTTGTTCAAAATTTCATTCATTTCTTATTCATTATGTAACAAGCTTAATTAATTGATAATTTACAATAAAACGATAAATTTTACTTCATAGATTATTTATTTATAGTTAAAAAGTTTAAATTTATCAATTGCTACTATATAGAACTTAATATAGTTAAGCAATAACCAAAAATGATTGCTCAGTCGACTGAATAATCATTACTTAAAATGATTTGAATAATCATTCAATAATTACTCATTTCACTTTTCTATTTTCATTCACTTTATTATCTCATCGATATTATTGATTGGAAAATTAAGAAGTAAATATTTCATTTTTATTTTATTGTATTTGCAAAAAGAGTTTTTCTTCTTTTTTCAGAATTAATAGGAAAATTGAAATTAATAAAATAACAAAGTTTTACCTTTCTTCTTTCATTTTAGGGTTTCTTTCGTACCACAATTGCTTTAATGGATTATTCATCAACGTTTACAGGCATTTTAATATATGCCTCAAGTCGGATACATTCGGGAAATGCGCCAATGAATGCTGTCGCACTTCTTACAGCCCAATTGGTTATGATGCATAAACCATTTTAATTCCTTTTCATTTATTAGTTGACAAATAAATAAGACATAATTTAGAAATGAAAAGGTTACATAGCAAATTAGAATTTTACTTTTTTGTTTATTGGCTGAGAGAGGAGGAATTACTGTAATTACAATTCCTTTTTGTAAACAATGAGTTATAATGAGGGAAATGTGAAAATGAAAGAAAGAATTAGAATTGATAACTTTGCTTAGTTATTAACTTATAAAATTGATGTTGACATGGCTTTGCTAAATGCTTTTTGAATTAAAATTTTTTAAATTTAAAAATGACATGACAACAAAATACTTTTAGATTATTAATTCTAATATGTTAAAAAAATGAAACTAAACTCTATCATATTGTCAGACTGAAAAATGGATCACTTACATAAGTAAAAATGTTGATAATTAAAAAAAAACAATGACATGATAATCACTTACAAAAATTAGCACGTAACGCTTCATTTTTTGACGAATATTATTTACATATAAATTTATCACTTATGAGAAAAACGAATAAAATTGCATTTGATACTCTCATCTAACAGTAATAAGTAATAATGATGAATACAATCAATTATTATTTAGTGATTAGAGGAGAACTTTATCTTGGAATTAATAATCAAATAATTAATATTTAGTAACGAAATTTATTTTAATTTAATTATTCTCTGTTTCAGTTACCACCAACGTTTCTTTACGTTTTGAGAGATGGTTGCAATGGTCATTTAGCAAATGTACAACCTGCTTACGATAGTTATGCGGCAACTGGTTTGTTTGTAGCTTTCTTTTTTTTCAAATTAAAATTCCGAAATCTTTCAGAATTTTATCTCGATATACTTGAGTATCATGATAAAATATCTAAAAGTTTTTCGTCATCTTTCTATTAAGTAGGCGAATTTTTAGGATTTATAATACTTTATGTCAGTGAAATTGATTAAATTAATCATTTTGCCAAAAAATTTTTAGTTAATTATAAAAATTCGTAAAAATCGTAAAAATTTTTTATGAATTTTTAGTTTGTTTGTGGAAAAAGATATTTTAATGTTAGAATGAATCGAAATCTGAATTGTACCAATTTAATTCTGAACAGTTTATCATAGAAGAGTTTAATATTATCTCAAATTTCTCGTATATTCAAAGAAAAGTTAATCAAAGAATATAAATTGTTTAGTTATAAAATGAACTCTTTCTTTTTCGCTTCCAAAATTTTGATCTCAACACAAATTATAGTCATTCCTTTAATTTTTTCTTTTAATTTTATTAATTAATTTTATATGAAACATTTTCGTTTGATACGGCTGCGGCATGTTTCGCAACAATTACTGGCGGACCAATTTGGGCTATCATATATTACATTGCCAATATGCTCTATACTTGCATCGGTCCTATGGTTTGTGTAAATTTATTCATTTAAAATATGCTTTCTTTTAAGTAAATACATATCATATTATCATAATAAAGTTAATATATATACGCATATAATAGATATTAGCATAATATATTACCATAATATAATAAATATGTAAATAAGTAAATATATATTATCACTTTATATCATACAATCAACAATTTCTATGAAACTCTTCAATTTCTCTAAAAGAATTCAATGATGAAATATAAATAAGCTAAAACTATTAATAAGTAATAGAAAGAAAAAATTTTTCACTTAGAATTGAGTTTATATAAACATTTAGTTGAAATATGAAAAATTTTTATAGAAATGAACGAATTCCAAATTTTAATAGTCTTTATTGCTATAATTGTTTCAATTAAAATATAAACGAAAAAAGGGAATTGAGAATATATATGGGCTGAAAGCTTAGTTACTTAAATTAAGTTTAATTACTTTCAAACATCTTAAAATAGTAAACTTTATCATCATCCGATAACTTTATCATCATCCGATTTAAAATATCAAATTATAATTATAACAGTTAATGTTGTGAATTTTCTTAATTAAGTTATGCTGAAATAATATGATCCAAATAATACTATTTGATGAAGTTTTTCTTTATTGAAATAATCTAAATAATCCTAATTAAAAAAGGTTAAATAATATATTAGAATTTTAGCATATTTATTAAATAAAAGATTTACAGTATGCGCCATTTTTATCACAGAATATAATATTACACGGTGTAGTCCACGGACTGTATGTTACGGTTACACAACATAGTATTACGATACAGTATCATATTATAATACTACTGTGTGATATTGTTATCTAATCATTAATTGTTAATTATTACCTTTCAGGTCATACTGCTGGCATTTATTTACAATTCATTTGTAGAGCAATTTTCATTTGTGGAACGATTTCGAACACTTTTATTAGTTTTGCTATGTGTTGTGTTTACCACAACGGGTCTTCTGCTTTGCATGCCTGTTAGTTATTTACCACTTATTACAATAAATTTTTCTTCCCTAACTTGAAATCATAAATTAAGTATAATTTGATGTGATAATTAAAAATTTAACTGCCAAACTTTTTAATGTCCAATTGTAGTAAGATCAGCATTTACTTGACATTTCTAATACGTGTTTCATTAATTTACTTACTTTATAATTATGACATTGCTATTTTGATATTGTGATATTTTCTCTAATCTTTTAAATTATTTCATAAAAATTTAATCTTCATGCTTACTAGACGTGTTGAATTTGATGTTTATCTTTTGGTGACGTGAATTATAAATTTATGCAATATTTTCAGATGGGTACATCATTTTCTACTTTATTACAGTACGTTTCACAATCATCAATCACGCAATTATTACTATTTATCACTGTTTTCTTCATTTATGGTAATAATTTTTTCCTTCTTTAACTTCAAAATTTAAATTATCGCTTGAAATTCATGAATGTTTTGTCATTACTTTAACTGCCAAATGTAGCAAATTGGAAATTACTAGTGGGTATTTCCGGAATTGCTGAAAAAAATTAAGAAAATGATGTTATCATGGTGTTTAACTGTTGGAATAATACCAACCGAATACAGTAATGTATAATTAGATGATATAGATGAAATGGGATAGTTTATCAAGAATTGTTTCGCGACAAATTTAAATATATACGAGTACTACAACAGACAAGTAGCAAGCATACTGTATCGAATTATTTAAGTAATTTCGCTTTTTTATTCGGTCATCAATTGAACTATCGGATCAATATTAAATAACAAAAATATAAAATTTTTTTGACAATAAATTTAAATTAATAAAATTATCTATTAGGATGGTATAATTTGGATACCGATGCACGGATAATGATAAATACTAGCAATAATCGCTCATTACTAGTATTCTTATTTGGTTCAACAAGTCCTTTATATTCTATTTTACTATTTACATCTGTACCAGCATTCCTTGTGGTTTGTCATTTCTTGTTATCTTAATTTTTGAATTCCTTCCTGAACATTCATTTTGATCTAATTTTCCAAATAATCAACATTAAGACGATTTCAAATTATAGGCAAAATTAGTGAGTGTATTTGATTTGCTAATGAGTGGAATGGATATAGAGAAGCATATTGATTATGGTACAGCATTTATATCATCATCTAAAATGTTAAATCGATCCTTTGGATATTTGATATTGCTTGGGCCAACTACAATTATTATCATTTTTGCTTTTGTTGCATTTTACATCAATGTTATTGTATGCAGAATGGTAATAATTTGATTAGTTCAAAAAATTCATTTTTATGACACTCAATTTATAGTATTTTTAAATGAAAAATTTTTGAACGCTATACCGCCTACTGGATATTTTCTTTTTTCACAAATTGTTATGTTTAAATTTCGTTCTAAATTATCATTGAATGTAATGAGCGTAATACGAAGCCTTAAATAGTTTAACCTTTCTTGCAAAACCAATTTTTTGCATTAAAAGTTTTAGACAGTGATAAATTGCTATTGAAATTACAATATAGTGATTTGTTTTAATATGATTTCCAAATTCAAATTTAATTTTAAATTAGATTTCAAAATAGAATTGAAATGTCTATTCATCGAAGCGGATTGTAATGCATAATTTCAATCAAATATTTCAGCCATTAGGTGCAATCATGGATGCAACAACAGATTGGATTTCGCATGCTTCACTTAGCCAGGTAAATGATTTTTCTTCTTTTTAAAAATTACATTAGTTTTTAATTTCATGTAACACATTAAATTTGAATCGTTTCATTTACGATGAATAATCATTTCATTAAGAATGAAAAAGAAAGGAGAAAATATGTTTGCAAACGAATTGATAATTACAATAATTATCGATTATTGTTAAAATCTTAGTGTGAATAAAATTTCTTCAAAATAAAGAGAAATCAATTAAAATTGACCAAAACTTTAGAATATAGAAATTCTTTCTCTTTTCACTTTTAATTAATTTATTACAATTAATTGTCAGACGACGAGTCCAAAACCGGCACCGATCTCACATCACATATTCACCTCTTTCTTCAATATTTCATACCGAACTGCATTATATGTCATATTTCTTGTTGAAATCTTCATTGGAATCATTTTACTTTTCCTCTTTATTGGGTAAATTTTATGATTGATTGAATTTTATATTTATTAAGTAATTAATTGCAAAATTATAATTTATTTAATTTGCTATTTAATTTGATTGTTTCAAATGAAATAAATTTCACCAATAATATAAATTATGATTTGCTAAGGAATAATATAGTTTTTTACAAGCACACATATATTATTATTTTAATCAATGTAATACGTAGGAAGAAATCAGAAAGAAAAGGATTTTGATTTTTTATAACGACGAATAAAATATATGAAATTATTAAAATGATGAAATAAAATACATACATATAAGTTAGGAAAATGGGGAAAAAATTGTAATTTAATTTTAATTTTAGTTTCTTTTTTTAAATCTTAAATTTAACATTTAATTTTCAATTTTCAGCAATGTATTTTACGTTCGTCTTGCTAGTAATAGCGCCAATATGGCAGCAGCAGGAAATTTTCGTACCGTATTATTTCTTGGTCTCTTAACATTCCACATTTTATCATTGATTGAATTACGCTGGGCGCTGAAAAGATGGGATCATTCATCCAGGTTAGTTCAAATTTCACTTTTTTTCTAATTTCTTTTTTTGCATAATAAATCACCGAAAAGTAGCATTCTTAATTTAATCACGGCTGTATAATGCTATAAAATTGCTGTAAAATATTATCAAAACTTTTGAAATTACCTACTAGGAAAAATAACTTTTCTACGATATCAATTTTAGTGTTATTATTGTTAAATATTAACAAATATTTATTCTTGAATATATGTTTAACAATAAACGTTATCGATTGATTCGAAGTTTTTTAAATATCAATGATGATCAGCTACTATTTATTTATTAACACATTTAGAAAATACTCAATATTTGATTACTTTCAATAATTATTTGTTTATATTCAAAAACCGTCAAATCAATCGATAATGCTATTATTGAACATCATGAGTAATGAGTAATAATCATGAGTAATAGAAACTGAAAGTTTTTAATTTCAGATTGACAATGTATATATCGGTTGCAACAATAGAAATGGCCTTCCTGAATGGTTATATGTGGATTGCAGCGGTGAATCATTCCTGGGGTTTAAATTATCAACCATTATTGGTGATTTTCGTCAATACTTTTATTCGGGGTGTTATGATCGCTATTGTGATAGCAATCCGTTGGAATATGGCGGAAATGTCACATCCAACGCGTACACGTGACGCTACCGAAATTTATGATGCAACCGCTGATTTGGATAATGATGCAGATCATGAGGATGATGTACCGACCATTTATGAAATGCGACGTGATGTTTTCACGTGAAAAATTTTTAATAAACTTGTGATTTTGTTAAATTATTTATTTTTGATTTCTTTGATGTTATGCAATTGATTGTTTGTATTCATTTCCAAAATGAATTGTAATATAAAACTATTAAAACATGCCGTATATTCCAAAACATCGTCTGATTGTTGCGTGGTGATAACAAAGGCTTCCTTCTGTAATACATTGTAGCTGAATAACTGGAATTAAAATTTAATTCCAGTCGAATACGCAGTGTCGATTTATCAATTAATTGATTAATTGATTGATTGATTGATTGATTTTGTTGATTTGACCAATTAATGATTTAGGATGAATCGGGAAAATTCGATGATTTCGTTTTACTCAATTGATTTTCTGAACTTGTCATTAATTCGACTACAGGAATTAAATTTTAATTTGCATAATTTTTTCTATTCCCTTCTTGTATCAAAAAGCAATTCAAAAAAATTAAGCTATTACTGTTTGAAATTTAAAAATTTCAGTAAATTATAAAGTATTCAAAAGATTTTTCGTCACTTTCACATTTAGTTTTTTCATTTGTCGTTTTTTTATTAACCTTTTCAGTACTTTTTCATGTAAAATTTTTGCTTAAAATTAATTTATTTACTAATTTGTTCCTTGAAAAAACTATGTCTACGTGACAGATATCACATGTTAAACATGAAAATACTAAAAGAGTTTGGAAGAGATAAATCAATTAGCTTACATCCTACGTATGAATGCGTCATTTAAAAAATTTGAAATGCCTTAGTCCTGAAACGATTATTTGCACTACAGTATCATTAATCGATATGTTGACGTCCTGGAAAGGCATCATTGAGTGGCTGCGTTCTCAGTGTTGTGTTATTTGTTATGCTGTTTCGTCTTTCTGCAGTGGTGGTGTTTTTTCTGGGATCTCTGTTCTGGTATATATCGAAAGAGATGGATGAAAAAGCTATTTTATTAACACTTTTCCTTCTAAGCAGTGTTTTTTGAGAACTTATTCTGGATTACCCTGGCATTTCATTTATGTATCACATTCCCGGTATCCAGGAAATGTGTGCGGTTGGAATTGTTATTGTCGATTAGTTTAAATTTAGTTTAAATTTTCGAGTGACAGCGATGTTTCTGGATTATATTGAGTAGAATGTAGAATTGAATGCTGGCAGAAGGTATTTCGAGTTGTGAAATTTTCAACATTGCCATCCTAATTATATATGATTGACTGAAATGATTAGATATAATGTTATATATGTTTTGTTCCAACTGCAGTTAAAATCCAGTTTTCAATTCGTTTCGGGAAGCTTTTTGGATCTTTTTATCCAACCTTTTTATATATCCCGCTACTGTTTTTTCATATTCATTCCCTGAACGTCATTCCTCTTTCTTTTCTCTCTTTGTGAACTTTATGATTAGCTAGAAAATTTTGCAGAATTTGAGCCTTTTTTGAATGACTAAAGAAACCAGTTATTTTGGGTTTAGAGAAATCAGTAATACTGAGATGAAATGTAAGAGCAGAGAAACAAGGGGAAGGGAATAAGAAAAGAGGAAAGATTCTTTGTGTATTTTTTTAAGGATTGATTTTGCTAGAGCATATAAAAGTGTTTTCATTTTAGTTTCAGGTAGTTATGTCAATTTCAGGATATTTATTTCAGAGTATATAGGATCACTTGCAAAATAGTTATGTAATCTTTAATGGATAAAAATTGTGATTTAAATCTGTCAATTCTTTTTCAACTTCTATGTTTTACGGCTGTATAGCGAAAGGTAGGCAATAAATGGGTAATGTGGTGGAGGTTCCAGGAAGTTTCAAACTTTAGGCCTAACTAATTAAGATCAGATCGACACTGGTAGATTTAAAGGGCGAATTAAGGGGAATATTTTAATGGTTGGCATCATGAACTGCTGGCGAAACGGATTTATAGGTATATATCATAGAATTAAAAGCTAAAATTAAAGGATTGTTGAGAAGTCATTGTCAGCAAAAATGCTAAGTTGTCGTCCAGTGTGCACGATCAACTTCCATAATGTCAAATCTCAAAACTTTGATATTTCCATTCACAAGAGTTATCAAATCAAACAGTATTTTGCCCTCTTGTTTGAAGGGAAGAAAAGACAGAGTGGGAAGTGTTTAGTTAAATAATTCCAATGATTATTTCTATATCAACATGACAACCAGTTTCCTTCCTTCCATATTTGCAAGCAATGGTACCCAAACAGGAGCTGTAAATGTTTTGTTTCATTTTTAAGAAATTATAAATATATTTTTCCACTGACTTTTCTGTTTTATTATGAAGGGAGTGCACTTATTTTGACAAATTTTTAAGCCAAAATACGGAAGTTTGTTTCTTACCGATTATAGCCTGCCAAAAGCAGCCAGAATTGTAATTTAGAGAGTAGCTGATGAAGAAATCCTTAATTTGGATTTTACGATCGAAAATTCAGGTTATGAAATTAAAAATGACATTGCTGTTTTTAAGCATTACCCTTCAATTTTTCGTAAACGGATTCTTTTTTCGTTCGTTCTTTCACATTTATCTGACTGCTTGCTCAAGTTGGATCGCTTTTTGGTTTCTCTGTCGTTTAGATGTCTTTTTTCCCTTTTGCTCCTTTAACTGTTACAATTAATTGTAGTTTTCGTCAGAGCTGGCAGTTATACAGATCACTGTTTACAGATATTCTTTGTACCATATCTATTGATTACTAGTGATAATAATGCGAATTTCTTGATGCACCATGATTCATTATGTCTTAACAGTTGTTCACATATATATAGCTAAGAAAAGATTAAAAAAGAAATGCCGTAGTGATAGTATCCCTTTTAGTGAACAATCTCTTGCGTATTCGGCGATACCTGCTCTGTCGTAAGTATCATTGATATTATATATTTTACATATGCTATATTGAAGGAACTTGTTCGTCTTATCAGTTCATCAGTTCCACAGCTATGTTTGATGGCAATCCGTTTGGCTTTGGGTAAGTGTTTCAACAATTTTTTTTAATTTGGAGTTAACTAGTAAATTCTTAATTTGATTGCTTATTCATTGGCTCAATTATCAGTGAATTACTAGTATTCGACTAATGTATTTATTTGGTTCTCTATTTGTTAATTTAGTTATGCATAATGTTTTTTCTCTCATTTGGAATTTATTATTTGTCAATTTCTTATCCTAATATTCGGATTTGAATTTATTAGATAAGTTGTCATTGTTGCAGTAACAATCGCTCTGCTTGTAAGAATTGTGGCTTTGTTTATCATTCCTTTACAGGATTTTAAGAAGAAAATGTTAGACATTGGAAGGACTATTGAATGTATTTTGCAATAGCGACATATATCTTTGAATTATTTAAGTTTATTTGTTATTCAGGTGTTTCACCACTTTTGGCTGTACAGTGAGCAAAAATCATTTCTTAGAACTTGATCTAACAATTTAAGATCCTTGAATCTGAAAAATGAGTGAACCATGTAGGCCAATGATTCAATTTTAAGAATAATTTCTAGTAAGGACTTTAGATTTCGAGTATTTAGGGCATTAGTGTTCGAGTGCCAACAGAATAACTAAAAATAAACAAGTACATAATGGATTTAACTGAGAAGGAAAAGGATTTTTTTTTAAATGTTTCTCTTCGTTGTATGTGAGTGTGGGGTTTTTCCAATGTTTTTACAATATCCATAACGTTATACTGCGAAGTAAACTAGATAATTTTTATTTAATTGCTATTCGGAAGACCAAGTTACATAAGTGAAAGTAATTGTGATTATAAAAATAAACTAAGATTTCATGTTGTCCCAGTCGGACGATGAGGATCTTCTGCAACTATGAGAAATGGCGAAATTAGCTAGATACCGGTTTGAAAGTTGAAGTTTAAAGTAATCGTATTAATGACTTTGATTCGATGATAATATTTGAGTGTAAAACAAGAGATATTGATGGAAAGCGATTACCAACATGTCGATCGGTGAAGTGTGCAGCTCATATCAAAGTAAATTGGACGCAATTAGGTTATGGCAGATATACATGAAATGATGTATAAACAATAATGCTCCACTAATATAGTGAGCATAAAGCTTGAGTAAAGAAAGTATTCAGGACCGTGGTCGTAGTGATATGTAATTGTAATCAATAATTTATGAACTACTGGGTGATCAATGAGCATTGGTTTGGTGACTGACATGCGGATCATTTTCCATAACACCATTTTAGGTATGTAGTTGCAGTTATATGGCGCACCAGATAATAATTCAGTAATTGTATCAGCACTATAAAAAAATGAAAGGTATTTGATGCTGGAGGATGGATTAAATGATTGATATTTCACTTTTTTCGTTACTTCGAAATACTTAAGACAGCACCAAAAATAGCTGATGAAAGTCTTATCAGTTATAGAAACCACATAGTAATTCAAGTGTTCCATATTTTTCTTTGAAATTTTAATGAAGGAGCAAAATTGGATTATTTGTTAAACCAAATAAGTCCCATTAAGTCTGATATGATCAGTTATTGATAGATTTCACGGATGTGATTTCCTAAATATCATGGCATTTTGCACGTAATTGAGATTGGAATTTGAAAATGACATTTGGACCCACTAAATTCATCATTGTGCATCAAGTAATGGATATTACTGTGATGAAATGTAAATGAGATTTCTTTAATAAGTTTCTTTAATTTCCTGTTGTTAGATATGTATGACTGTGAGGTGAAATTATTGATCATATCAGGAGCAAAGTATCATCAGTAGTGATTGTTGGTATCAGATCAGTTTGTCATGTGAACTGAATAATACGGAAAATAACTGTTCATATTTCATCATTCATTAAATTAACGATTTTTCTGAACTGCCGGTTTTTCTAAATTACGGTTTTTTGAGCTGCCGATTTTTCTAAATTATGGTTTTTTTGAACTGCCTGATTAGTATTATACTGCAGCGTGAACAAGTAGATGAAATTTCCGAATAATGATGAATGAAAGAATTTCGAAGAGGAAAGAAGCGAATATCAGGATTGTAATTCTATT